AACAGTACAATGATTGAAATTTCTTTTGAGAGCCAAACTTTTTAAACTTAAACTATATAGGTAGGTACATTATTATTAACTTAATTAGGGTACTCCTAAGCTGGCCTTTGCTAAAAACGTCCTCAATCTGATTGAGGTACATTTGCTGAGGTCCACCCCTTCCAACTCTCCCATCCACACTCGTCTTGTATACTTGTTTCGTCTATCTCCTTTCTGAAAACCGACTTCTGCACATGGGCCACAAAGTTTCAATAGCACTGTATGTGCGTGCCAGCACGTGGCATTTTGTGGAAGAGCCACACTCAAGGGGCCAAAGAGCCGCATGTGGCTCGCTAGCCGCTGTTTGCCGACCACTGCCTTAGCACATGCTAGACTCTGTAATGCAACTGGCCTTCACCAACATGCCTTTTGATAAACAAGATTAGAATTTACACTTTTCAGAGTTTTCTAAGTTTTTATCAAGTGCTTTCAGAAATGTTCAAATAATATTTCCTGAACATCGGTGAACCAAGTCACTGATTGGTATCAGAATGTTAATTTGATGTCTGATGCTGATAATGCTGACTCATTTCCAATTCAGATTAGTGCTATTCAAGATAAAGACCGGCTGGTGTTGGTTTAATAATTTATAACCAAGCAGCTCATATCTGTAGCAATCTCAAGGTCAAGTGCTGAAAAAAATCCAGAATAACCTGTTATGAACGATGGTATGTCCTGGTTGAAAGAATTTACAATAACCACGTTCATCTGTGGTACATGTTTTGAGTTTTACAAATATTAGTTATAAAGGGTGGGGAAACTCAAAGGACAAACCTCCTCATTCTTTAGTCATTTAAGTACTTGTGTTATTAAGAAGGCTTTCATGACTGTAGCTAACATAAATCAAAGCAAGTTCAGAGGTTTCTGTTAACTGTTCTCTCCATTCTTCTGCCTTTTTTCCCCTTTTATTCTCCTTTCCCTTCTTTACCTAGGCAACTATTTTATTTTATTTTTTAATCTTTTTGTTTTTATATAAACAGGGTAATATCCTTTTGAGAACAGTTGACCCTCAAACAACACAGGCTTGAACTGTGTGGGTCCACCTATATGCGGATTTTTTTTTCAATAAAATACCTGTACCGTTTTCAATCCATGGTTGGGATGCTGAGGACTAACTGTATGCATTGATCCATGCTAGTGTATGTAGGGAACCTGAGCATTTGCAGATTTTGGTGTCTGTGGAGGTCCTGAAACCAATTCCCCACAGATACTTAGGGTAGTTAAGTTTTGGAGGAGTCAAACATTCCATGTGGATTTTGACTGCATGGGGAGGATTGATACCCCAACAAGGGTAACTGTGTGTGCATGTATACTTAATGATATCATGTTATAGAAGTCATGTTGTTCTTTTCCTTTTTTTCTCAGCATTATGTTTTTAAGATTCATCCATGTTACTATATCATCTAGCCCTTTGCTTCTTGCTGCTGCATAGTCCTCCCTGGTCTCCATCCCCACAGCTCATGCATCTACTCTCCAGTGACGGACTCCCTGTGTTTCTTCCATCCATGTCCCATCACTAGAGAGCACTAGCAAATAGCTGCAAAAATGTCCTTTCATGAACTGTGTGGGAGGTTCTCTGGAATGGCTAACCCAGGAGCAGAATTGTTGGTTTCTGTATATATGTGTGTGTGTATATATATATATATATATGCCGCGCTAGCACAGCCAAGGGTTCTGTGAGCCTGAGGAGGGGCAGTGAAGGATTAAAGAAAAGACAGACAAAGAGAATAAGCTGGGGCTCCATGGATCTCCTGTGCCTGGATGAGGCCACAGAGAAGGATCCAGCCAGCAAGCTGAGGCTTTATTTTATAGTCAGAGAAAAACAAGGTAGTGGTCAACATAATTACAATGTTCTTCTGAGTTTCACTTGCTTTGGCAGCACTTGCTGCACCTCCCACAGCCCATTAGCTACCCAGGAAGGATCTAGGGAGCGCTATAAGGTTAAGCTTACTAAGCTAAGAGGGCTCTGCCCTCTAAGCTGGGACTTGTTTGTGGCTCTGCCACAGGTCAATCCGAGGCTTAATTCTAAAGCCACTCCCTACATATGTACATATATATAATATATATCTTTATTTTTATTGTTGAAACTATTGCTTCTTGACTCTGCATATTCCCTATGACTAAGTAGTGCCAGGTAGCTCACCACCATCTATAACCCAAAGCATGAAATCTCCCATTCCCACATCCTTACTACCACTTGGCATTATCAAGCTTTAGATTTTTCTCTGGTCAATAGGTATACAGGGACATCCCATTTTAATTTGCATCCTTTTGATTATTAATGAGCTCAAAAATATCTTCAACTCCTTTTGGACTTTTGTGTTTCCTCTTCTATAAATTGCATTTTACAATGTTTTCCCCATTGTTTTATGCAGGGCCTTTCTGCCTTTTGGTTATTGATTTTTATGGAATTATTTGTATGTTATAGGTATTAACTCTTGTCAGTCTCAAATATGCAAATATTTCCCAATGTTTTACCTTTTAGCTGTTACTATGCTGCCCTTTGTTGAACAGAACATTTTAATTCATCATTTTTTACTTCAACATTTTGATTTTGAATTTTCAAAAAGAATTCTGCCAATTTTGAACTTGAATTATCTTTTTTTTCTGCTCAAGTTCACAAAGAAATTATTCTACATTTTCTTCTGTTAACCAGACAGTTTTATCTGAACTTACTTTTTTGAACCACCTGAAGTCCACTTATGGATATGGGTTTAAGTAGGGATCCAGTTTTATTTTTCTTCATTTCATGATCCAGTTTTCCCAAGATCATCTAGTAATTCAATCTAACCATCTCCATTGATCTTTATTGTATACTAGAGGCCCAGTGCATGAAAATTTGTGCACTGGTGGGGGGGGGTCCCTCAGCCTGGCCTGCCCCCTCTCACAGTCTGGGAGCCATCAGGGGATGTCCTACTGACAGCTTAGTCTAAGCCACAATCTGGCCTCCCTCTGCGGCTGATCATGGGAAGGCACCACCCCCATCACCCCCTTGCTGCTGCCGCCTCTGGCCTCCCTCTAAGGGAGGCGACCAGGCTGACCAGGGGAAGGCGACACCCCCATCGTGCTGCTTCCACTGCTGCTGCCACTGCCAGCCGCCATGGCTGCCTGAGCCTCAGCCAGGCCCTCGCAGCAGCAGCCGCTGTGGCTTTGTCCAGAAGATGTCCGGTCTAATTAGCATATTACCCTTTTATTAGTATAGATTAAATTTCTGTGTGCACATAGATCTGTCTCTGAGCTATTCCAGTAGTCTAAATTTCTGTCCTGTACATGATCACATTGTTTTGTTTTATATTTTCATTAATTTCTGTTGCTTTGCAGTATGTCTCAATACCTGATTGGGTAAATTTTCCCTTTCTTGTCTCTTCAGTTTCGAAGTTGACTTAGTTATTCATGGGCTTTAGAACATGTTTATTAAATTCCTAATAAAATACAGCTGGAATTTTTATTAATACTATATTGAAGTTATAGACTAGTTTGGGAGGAAATGACATCTTCTGATAATTTTATTTAAATTTACAAATTACACTTTAAGTATTACATTAGGTGGGTCTTAAAAAATGTTTGATTTAAAATGTTTTTTATTGTTGGTCAACTCTACATTTTCAAAAAATTTCTGCTACTGTTTATTTCTGGGTAAATCCACTTAGCTTAAAGATTGTTTTGCTCTGTTGAGATGTCAGTTCCAGAATTAGAAACTTTAGAGATTTTTATGGAGGGTGGGTGGAAAAATGCTTTTCAGATTTATTTTTGCTTCTTTGTTCCAGTTATGAGTTAAGAGGGTGATTTTATTTTTCTTTGGTATAGAGATCATTGTCTTTGTCCATTTACTGAATATTATCTTGCCTTACACATTTGCTTCTAGTGAGATGCTGAATCCTCCAGAATGCAGGATGGAACATTTGGCCATATTGTTTGCCTAGGTCTTAAAATGTTTTTCAGGAGATTAGCATGGTGTAAGTGGATGAAAAGAACAGATAGAATAGACTCAGCATTGATTCTCTAATAGTGAGAAGGTCTGTTTTGTGTTTAAAGTATTTAACCAATGGGTATAGAGTAGATAGAGTCCCAGACTTACCTGCTGGTGCATTTACCCTCACCTGCCTTCTTTCACTTTCAGGAAAGGAGGCCTTCTTCTGGACTGTCGAAGGTTAATCTCTCCTTCTGTACTTTTGAATGTATAGTCCCTCTTCCTCCTAGGTATTATTTGAAGAATTATTTAAACTCTTCTCTTTTAAAAACCTTTCATTGGGTCTATACTTGCCTTGAGCTTTTACAATATTGGAGAGACAAAACATCCTCTTACCCTTTTAATTATTTCTCTCTCTGTCCCCATCCATTCACAGCCAGAAGCCTTTAAGAGAACAGTTAATAATCATGGCCTTCACTTTCATTCTAATGACTCCACTTAAATGGTAGTGGTACAGGTTACCCATATCTCAATGTCTTAGTGTAGTGAGCCATGTACAGACTTTATTTGTCCTTTCTGCACTTTAATCACTCCCTTCTTGAAACTTTTTTTTTCCCCTCAGCTTCTCAGCCATTACACTCCTGTTTTCTCTTCTACCTTTGTGTCATTTCTTCTTGGTGACATTTGCTAGTTTTTTTTTTCCGTTAAATGTTGGTGCTCTCAGATCCCTGACTACTACTGCCTTATCCTTTATGCTTTTCCTGAATAAATCAACTAACTTCTGATTTCAACAACCACCTGTATGTGATGACCCCCAGGTCTCCCCCAGAGCTCCAGAACTATAAATCGGGCTGTTTCCTGGACGGCACCTATCCAAAACAGCCCATGAGAATCCTCACGACCATTCTCCTTCTTGCATTCTGTGAGTGGCATCACTCATCCCCTAAGCCAGACCCCTGGAGTCCATCTGAGACACTTTCTCCTACACAGGCCTCAAATCTATCATCTTCTCCACAGCCTTGATTCAATCCCTGATCATCTTGTTCTGTGAGCATGGCCATAGTCTTCCAGCTAGACCCCCAACTCTCCTTCATCACCTCTCCAATCTATCCTCTAAACTGAAGCCAAACTAATCTTTCTTATACCCAACATGGCGATGTTTATATTGTAATCAAAACTTGGCAAGGGCTCCTGCTGCCTTCCTTCCATAAAGATGAGAATCTAAACTGTAGAGTCTGGCATACAAGTTTATATCGTCTGGCCCTGTCCACTTTTCCAGCTGAATGGAGCTGCTCTTTGTCTGGACAGCCCAAACTTTTTCCAGGCCCTGGACCTTCCCTTGCCTTGCTGCTGAGGCCATTCCCATTAGCTGAGCACACTCTGATTCACTTCCCAAGACAATGTTCAAGGGTCGCTATTATACAAATCCTTTCCTGACCTTTCATATGAATGCATAAGTGAATGAGTAGATCCTGGAAGATTGAGAGAGTTCAGCAACTTAACATTTTTGTAGCATAACCTTGCTTAGAAGAACTCTGAGTTTCTGAATTCTCTCCCCAACTAGGGTTGCTAGATAAAAGATGAAATATTTGGGACAAACTTAAACTAACTAATTATTCATTATTTATCTGAAGTTCAAATTAAACGGGGCATTTGGTATTTTTATGTGCTAAATCTGGCAACTCTATCTCTGAGGCCACTTTAACTTTAAATCCTATATTAAATTGGATACACTGGAGGGGGGTGGAATGCCTCAGAGTATTTGTTATGCTTAGTGCAATGAATAATTCTTTGGTTCTTCAACTGTGAAGACAGAAAATGCAGATCTTTTGAAATATTGGAATCAAGGAAACAGCACTCAGTTGAGCAGTCAGAGAATGAGATTACTATGTCGATACCAACTGTGGACGTTGTAATGAATAGACTTCTCTGCTCCGTTGGCTCACTATTGACTTTCTCTAATGGGTTTTCCTCTCCTTTAGCTTGTGACCAATCCTGTGAAAGTTGTGGCCCCAATAGTCCCAGATGCCTTACCTGTGCTGAGAAGGCAGTGTTGCATGATGGCAAGTGCATTTCTGAATGCCCTGGTGGATACTATGCTGATGCCACTGGCAGATGCAAAGGTAAGACATGGGCCATCATCGTCATAATCATCATTGACTAGACTGGGAGTTGTATCTGCTCACTTTGGAATCTGTGTGTCTAATGGGAAAATGTCAAAAGGAATAGCTTTTTCATTAGAGAATCTCCATGTATGTGGTATGGGAATGGGAGACAGGGGTGGATGCTGAGATACTAGAGTGATTAAATTCACTTGGTCTTTTTGAAATGCCAAGAACATCTTTAAGACCTTCATAGTGTACTTGTGTACTTGTAAACCATCACCAACTTAGATCAAAGGTATGACAGAATCATTCCTTAGGTGGCATTTATAAATACTACAGGGGCAAGCAAAAGTAGGTTAATAATAATAAATGATAATGCAATAATTAATATATAAATAATAGTACAGGAATAAACTCTGTGTTTCGCATACTCACAACTGTTGACCTATGTTTTGCCCACCACCCAGGACCAGAGGAGCTGTGTGTGTCTGA